TAAATTATAGCTGACAATGCTAAAAATTATAAGAAGGTTGGAGAAGTATTACATGAGAGGTATGACATCTACTGGCCACCTTGTGTTGTTCATTGCTTGAACCTTATCTTAAAAAGAAATAGTGGCATGCCACATGCCATCACAACCCATGGTTTGCAAGTCAAATTTCTTAAGCGTGGGGGTAATTGCATCTGGCAAGAGAAATTATGAAATTCATGATGAAATTTTCAGGACAACTAAAAGTTTGGTTGCCTCTATCAAACGACAAATTAAGCTGAGAACATAATTAGAGGAGCTCAAAATTTTGGAATGAAGAGGTGGGAAATTTTTGGGGGCATTTACATACATAGCACCCAATTCTTATTGATTTACCTATCTCACACAAAAACTTTTTCATATTTACAAACATCATATGAAAAATAGCACTCATTACAACCTTTTAATAGTCAAATTCATCTTTTTATCCATAGGTAAAGTGCTATGTGTGTAAAAATGGAATTTCAAAAGTGAGATACGTAAATTCACAAGAATTGTGTGCTCGGTATGTAATTTTCCCAATTTTTTTTGGAGATTGGCTGCGGGTTTGTTTTCATTTTGGCTATTGCTTATTGGATTTCTCTTTTTACTCCAAATGAAACTCATTGTGGCAATCCTTAACAGATTTTTATTTGACCTTCTGAATGACTTTAGAGTCCCTCAATTTTGTGACCATAATAATCTTGCTTCTTTGGTATTGTTTTATTTGCTTTGTGTAGGTGCTGTAATACATCCAAATGGTCTTTCTCTGACGCAGTAGTTTTGTTTTTCATAGCCTCTTTTGTTTAGGATTTATTTACAGTTGTAATTTGTTCTCTGATCCTCTTTTTGACCCTTGTTGTAATATCTGTTTTTAGTAATTATATTGAGCCTTGGCACTTATCAATTCATATAAAAGAAGCTTTAAATAGTACGAGATCAATGCAATGAAAGGATAGATCCAGGACAAGCAACAAAGGTCACATTCAAGTATAGACAATAATCTCCCATTTTCATAAAACTCAATAATCATAGGTGGATACCCCTAAATGCCAGTAGTGAACAAGTTGAAGGATTCCAAAATCAACAATCTTAAATGAGAACAGATGTCCCAACGTACCCCTGAATGCCAAAAAGGGGAGGTGCCTTGAGGCATACACAGGCATAAAGAAACGAAATCCCTGAAAAGAATCTCCTCAAAATCATACATAAATCTATTAACGAAAGGTTTAAAATGCAAAATCCAAAATTATGATGTTTAGCTTCAGCAAGATGCGGGGCAAGCCCTGATACAATGGGGGGAGGCTAAAGTATAAAATCAAAAAAATAAAAAATAAAAACTTATAAAATTAAAAAAAATTCATATATATGTCATAAATCTTAAACATTTACTTTATTCGTTGACATGAACCATAAAAATCAAATATAAAAAAAAGAAAGTAAACCTCAATTTTAAATATTAACCTAAAAAAAATGTCAAATTTGTTAGAAAATCGAACCATGTTTCAACCATGAACGAACAAGGTTCAAAAATAGTTTTAATATATTCAAACCTTATTTGAAGTATGATTGAATGAGATTTGAGATCTATTTGAACAAGTATTTGAATTTTATTCAAACCATCTTTAAACCACGTTTGCTCAAGATTCAAACATGGTTCACGCAAGGTTCTCACATTGTTCAAATAAGGTTCAAAAACATGTTCCAACAACGACGAAGCTATATGCATTCAAACACATGTTCTAAAAAATCATTTGAGGCACATGCATCAAAAGCCTTGAGACGACTGCCTCAAATACAAAAAGACTTGAGCTCCACTAGGGACAATAAGGTGTAAGCCTCAAGGCATTTTTTGAACACCTCATATTGAGACGCGCTTCACAGCGTGCACGTAGAATGATTTTTAAAATATGCTATTAAGTTGGTATCTTATGAACTAAACCAATCCATGTGAAAGGAAGATCCATAAAAGACCAAATCAATAAATGTGTCGTGATAATCTTATTAAACTATTTAACATTCCTCAAGATTTCATTCATTCATTCATTGATATGCTGTCATGCAATACATAAACTACTATCTATTTAACATTCCTCAAGATTTCATTCATTCATTGATATGCTGTCATGCAATTTTTTTATGCATGAAGGATTAAATAACAAAGGCATGCACTTGTAGCACACAAGATTAAAAATAAGGAGGATATGTCGAGAGAATTCAACCCATTATACCAAAAAATTTAAATGCAAAAAACACATGATATATCTAATGTTACAACTTAAAGTATGTGTAGAATCCTAGATGAATTCTTTCTGGTTCTGCAATTGATATAACAAAAGACAAGCTATCAATGCATATTCTATGCACTCATATAGGAAATAAATATATACAGTGGAAGGGAAAAGAAAATGAGTGTACCAAAGGCCATAAGATGGGTGAATATTCCTTTTGCAAAGCAGAATTTTACCATCATGCTCCACCAGGCAACCGACAACCTAAAAGTATTGTCCTTGTCAGTGGCAACAGTACAAGTTTTCATTGTAAAGGATGACAAACATATAAGAAAATCTTGATATAAACTGCACTACCATAAATTTAAAAATGTTTTTCCTTGATATAAACGGTACTAACATAAATTTAACAATGTCATAATAAATAATCTTGCTCCCTGAAGAGACAAAAAAGAAGTTAGCACAGGTCTCTCTTTAAAGCAAATCCAGCAGTAGGTAAACCATAGAAGTTAAATAATATAAAATACTTTAAAGCAAAGAGGGCATTGATGGCTGAATTTATTATAAAAATGGGTAATAAGCAATAAATCAAAGGGATCAGACATAATTGAGAATGAGGACTAGGTGGGGCTTGAAGGCCGCCGCACATTTCTATATGAAATAGTCTCATATATAGACATGGGCTGACACAAAAAAGATGTCGACTCAAAATTAAAGTTGCTTCTAGTTAATATGGCTCCCCTATAAATTCTATAATGTCAGGTTAACTCAAAATTGAATTCTAGTCGCAAATTGTTATTTTTAGTTTAAGTATATACAGATGTACGTATGCACACAGTATATGTATATAACCATTACTAGTTGAGTCAAACTATAATCAGGCCCAACCAACTAGTGTAAGACCTAAAAAATGTTCTTTAAAAGGTAGATTAAGCGGTGTGTAGTCACTAAATAGAATTTCTCAATCATAGATGACATATTGTTCCTAATTCAAGGTTTCGATCCTATGGGCACAAGCTCCCATGATACTCTTATCTAAGGCTATAAACCAAGGCTGAAAAATATGCCAAGAAGGCGCCTATTTCATCATAGAAGTGAGTTAATACAAGGCTCTTAGTCTTCTTAGATGGCATGCATGTTACAGAGGCCAGTAAAAGCACGGGGCCATGGGGATTTGTTAGGTTTTTGGAAACATGATACATAAGCAGTTCAAAGACTTCTTTTTGATATGACATGATACCAGAGTTAACCCAAAGCACGAGCAAGATATGAATTTATTAATAATTTAAAAGGAATGTTACAACGATGTCTCAAAAGAAAAGAAAGACACCACATAAATCAAATCATAAAATAAAATATTACAAACAAAGACTCAAAAAGATCAAGATACAACAAGCACAACGAGGTGGGACTCCGGAGAGATAGTGCTGGAGCGGTGGCTGCGGTAAGCGATGTCGGGCGAAAGCGGGGGGCAGCAAGTCAACACTTGTTGAGGCATCAAACTGCAACTGGAAGAAGCGGAAAACATCGTCGAAGGGTGGAATCCGGAGGAGGCAAGGATGGAGACCGAAGCCAAGGAACGGAGGCAAGAATGGCGGCCGAAGCCGAGGAGCGGAGGTGGAGGAAGGTCGTGAGTTGCAGGAATGAGGGAGGCAGCGGCTGGAGGCGCTAGGAAGGCCTGACGAGGCTACAATCAGCAGGGAGTGAGGTGGTCGGAGGAGGGAGGCAGATAAGCTTCCGACCATGGTTCTGGAAGGGGAGCAAGGAGCTGCGAATGCAGGTGGCTGTAGTGGAAGCGTCTGGAAGGACAACAAGTGGGCTGCGAACTTCCTGCAGTGAAGCTGCAAATGAATCGGCGATGGTCTGGGAGGGCAGCAGGGCTGCCATTGCTTGCATGGAGGCTGCAGGAAAGCTGGTCAGCGATTTAGAGGCGCAACAATGGACTGCGACACTCCTGCAGGGAAGCTGTATTGGAACTTAGCGGCAATCTAGGAGCAAAAAGGGAATCGGGTGGTTCTTGGCTGGTAGGGAGTAGGTCTGCGGTGCTGGAGGGTAGTTGGAACGTCGACAAATTGCGGGACAACGTTTAGTGGTTAGAATGACGAAGATAACAATCTCACCACCCCAGAAAAGGTTACAGTCGGAGCACCTTCCTCGTCATTGGATACAAACCTCAAGAGAAAAAACACTCAAATAAAACTGAATTTAGATTTCAAAATCAAAACCACTAACTCTAGGCACCTTAAATCTCATTTATTCCGATTTATAAAGAGACTTGGCTCAATTAGGAAACACTAAAATAAAAAGGAGAATAAAATCAGATTTTAGATATTTTAAAATAAGGAAATAAAATCAGATTTCAGTTTTGATTTAAAATAAAAAGAAGAATAAAAATCAGATTTCAGTTCTTGGAAATGTGTTAAAATTAGAAAATAAAATCAGATTTCAGTTTTGATTTAAAATATGAAGAATTAAAATCAGATTTCAGTTCTTGGAAAGGTGTTAAAATTAGAAGGAGAATAAAAATCAGATTTCAGTTTTAGGAAATGTTTTAGAATTAGGAAGGGCATAGGATGCTAAGAAAGGATAGAAAGAAAAGGAAAGGAAGGGAAGGGGAGAAAAAGGAAAGGAGGGAAGGGGCAGGAGAGGGCAGCAGCCCCCCTCAACCAGTTGGTCCTCCCGCCCGAGCCTTGCGTCATGACCACTTAATTAAAAGACTTCTACTAATCCTTAATTCCCCATAAAGCTATAAGCAAGGTTGCCCTAGTTGCATTGATATAACAAATGATTTTTTGTGAACCTTGATCTTTTGTAACTTTAGCAACTTCGATAAGTTATACATAAAAAAACAAAGAACAAATAGCTCAGAGCACGAAGCATTCATTTATGTTTATTTTGTATTATTTAATCTTTTATAATCCTTTCTTTTCTTTTTTTGTAGTCCTTCAAGGAATGATTTATCTTTTGGTTGCCTGAAAATATTGATAGCTGCTTATTGAAGCTTGGTTATAGATATTGCAGTTGCATTTTTTTATCAAGATATACTTGTGTGCTCGTGATATACATCGCAAATGAATCCTTCGGAATCTCAACAAGTTTATTGATGTAGCAACTGAGTAGGCAACAACAATAACAACAAGCCTTTATACCACTAGGTCAGCTACATGAATCCTTTTTCTCCATTGTGTCCTATTCATATTTTCATTTATTTCTAATAGATTAAGATCATTTTTTATGCAAATGCTCAAGTCTTTTTAGGTCTATCTTTGCCTTTCTTAACATAAGTCGAATCTAAAACATCTACTCTCCTAACCGAATCATCAAATGGTCTATGTTTGATATGACCAAATCATCTAAGACGATTCTCTATGATTTTGTCTGTCACTGAAGCTACACTAACCCTTTCACGGATAGATTTGTTTCGCATTTTGTCTAAGTGTCAAGCCACTCATCCACCTAAGCGTTCTCATCTCAACAACACTTAACTTTGTTTTATGCTTCTCTTTTAAAGGAGAACATTATATGCCATCTTATAAAATTTTCCTTCTTATAAAACACTTAACTCTGTTTTATGCTTCTCTTTTAAAGGCGAACATTATATGCCATAAAGCATTATTCACCACCATCTTATAAAATTTTCCTTCAAGTCTAAGCGATATTTTTCTATCACACAATAAACCCGATGCATTCCTCTATTTCAACCAACCAACTTGAATTCTACTACTAACATCCACATCTATATCACCATCATTTTGAACAGTAGACCCGAGATATCTAAAACGTTCACACCTTTTAATGATTTGATTACTCATATTTACAACTTTGTCACTAAAGCTACTACTTCTAAAATTACATTCCATGTATTCAATTTTAGATATACTCGAACGAAGGCATTTAGACTCCAATGTATGCCTCCATAATTCAAGTTTTTCCTGAACTCTCTCTAGTCTTATTCACAACATGGATATCATCAGCAAAAAGCACAAACCAAGGTACATCCTTCAATAAATGTCCAGTAAGAGCGTCCATAACAAAAGCAAAAAAATATGGGCTTAAAGCCGATCCCTGATGTAATCCAACTGAAACAAGAAAATACTTGGTCAACCGTCATGTTCGAACACAAATAACATCTTTAGCATACATATTTTTAATGACTTGAGTATAAATAATATTAACATATTTCTTCTCTAGAACTCTCCAAAATACTTCTCTTGGAACCTTATCATAAGCTTTTTCTAAATCAATAAAAATTATATATAGATTTTCTTTACTCTCCTGTAGATCTTCTTTACTCTCCTTGTACTTCTCCATCAAACCTCTCAATAAATGTATAGCTTCCATAATAAATTTGCCTAACATAACTCCAAATTGATTATAAGAAATTTTTTTTATCACAACTTAACATATGTTTAATTACCCTTTCCTTTAATTTTAAAGTGTGACACATTAACATAATTCCTCTATATAATTTACACACACTTGTTCATCTCCTTTATTCTTAAAAATGGTTCTTAAAAATTGGGACCTAAATAATCTTCCTCCACTCCTTAGACATCTTTTTAGTTTTAAAATAATATTAAAGACTTGATTAAGCAAAGAAATTCCCAAATCTTCTTAATATTTCTACACTTCAATTGTGATATCATCAGTTCCTATTAATTTTCCACTCATGATTTTCTTTCAAGTCTCATCAACTTCTTTTTTACTAATGCGACAGTAAAAATAAAATGTTTTCTTATTATTAACGATATTAAAATCATCAAGGTCAATTTTTTTTTCAGAAAATTCATTGAAAAGTTTATCAAAATAGTAGCTAAGTGAATAGGCAAACTAATTTCTATTGGGACAATTTTGGTAAAGTTAGCCTACATCGATCATGTTCTTGACGGCTTAAAAAGCAATCATTTGGAAGATGATGGGCAACTCCATCATAGCTACCTTAGTTGACTTGAGATAATTATATCTTTTGAGGATAGAAGTTGAACTTTATATTCTAACAATCAACTCTTGTGAGTTGATCTAATTGCCACAATTGGGCGTAAACAACATAACATTTGTAAGCATAACATGATTTGATACCTTGAAGTTATCATAACGTATCCAAACTTAGTTGATCGGATAATTAGAGGCAAAAGACCCGCCCATAATTGTTTGAATGACAAGGAACTATCTGAAGTGTGCTATACATTTCCAGGTCAACCAAAAATGTTAAAGGAATCTACAACTTCGACATAATAACCTAATCAAATATATCAAAATAAGAT